AAAAAAAAAAAGGGATTGACATATGAAGGAACAATGTACAATTGAAGGTGTTTCTGTTTTCTTTCTTTTCCATTGTGTGTAATTTTGACTTTCTGACTAACCATAGTGCAGCTCTTCCCTGCATACTGTCTCTAGTTTGCTTTTCCTTTCCTTTCCTCCAAGTATTTCTTGCATATTGATACCTATAGCTATGAAGGACTGAAGTAATAATTACAAAATACACATGGAAGAAATAAACTTTTTATGACTATAATGAATCAGAAAATGTTTTCTGCATCTGGCATTTTCAGATGTACTTTGATTAGTGTGTAGACTGTTATGAGCTCTTTCTTGAAGTTGCATGATCAAATGCCATTAAAGTGATATTCACTGTAAGAGGTTAGTAGGGTAACTTGTTTGTTTGCATGCAGGTGCACATAACAGACCTTTGTGATAGAGCAGTCCAGTGGATATAGGCCCTGGAAAAATTAGTTTTCTCCCGCAAAGATCTTTGACACTTAAGCTTGTAATTCAGTGTAAAATGTCATAACATTTTAATTAATAAAAATGAAGTTTATCAATATTTGCCCATACACTATCATATGAAATTTCATTGTAAAATTTCATAGCATTTTAATTTGTAAAAATAAAGTTTATCAATTTTTGCCCGTACACTAATATATGAAAAAAATATTACTTAATTAACCACCTTTGATAAGCATAAGTTTAGACAGGCCTAAAAACAGAACAATAATTTCATCCTCCTATCAAACAGCTGGTTAGACAAAGACGGCAGACAGGCAGTCATAAATGTTTATTTAATCAATAATAACCCTACCCTTGCCTGATGAGGACATAAATGTTAAATAGGACAGCAGTTAAAGGTATGATCATGTATGAGATTCACACCCCAATAACTTTTATGGTCGGAATGATAATGACCCAATAATGGCAGTGAACCATGTATGCCCACAGATGTTAATACTAGTACTAGCATGTACACTCCCTGAGTCAGAAAAAAATGTTTGTTTTGTAATTGTTGAAATAGTATACATGTTGCAAGTATCTTTTAATTGTGCTTTTAATAATAATATGAAACTTCTTGTTATGTACAGAACATGAATCTAGACTTATATCTTAATTTTCACTTTTTCCATTACCTTTTCCCTAGATGACAATATAGATGGAAAAGCAGAGCTTGGAGCAAACTATATCCATGGAATAGAGCGCAATCCTATCTACAAAATTGCAGATGAAAATGACCTCCTGGAGTTGAGAAACAAGGAAAAGGGACTTCGTCACAGACATGTTTATGTTACTGATCAAGGGGATATTGTAAGTAAGCAAATTGTGCAAGAAGTAGACTGGGCATATGGCATGCTCATGCAACAATGTGAGGAGTTCTTTCACTTGGATATTGCCACTCCATGCAAAAATGATAGTGTTGGTGCTTTCATGGAACGGGAGTATGACCGCAAAGTTGGAAAATACTCTGCTGAGGAGAAACATATACGACAGCTGATATTTAATCAAAGATTGGCCTATGAAGCAGTCATTAGTGGTAGTGACTCCATGTATGATGTCTCTTTGGGTGAACTGGGCAGCTACGAAGAGCTCCCTGGAATTCACTATACAATACCTCCTGGCTTCGAGATGGTGCTGGAAATAATCAAGCGCAATATACCTCCAGAGGACATTGTGCTGAATAAGCCAGTCACATGTATCTGTTGGAATCAAGGAGACAAGTATGAGAGCCATCACCAGGTGTGTGTAGAGTGTGAGGATGGAGAAAAGTTTTATGCAGACCATGTCATCGTGACGGTCTCTTTAGGGTGTCTCAAGTACAATGCAAAACGCTTCTTCAGCCCTCCTCTCCCAAAGTGTAAATTGGATGCAATAGAAAGTCTGGACATTGGCACAGTTGGGAAAGTCATCCTGGAGTTTGACGAGGCAATTTTCCCACCAGATGTTAGGAGACTCGAGCTGCTGTGGGACAAGGACCATTATGATGACTGTGACAAGGAGATGTCCAAATGTTGGTTCAGGAAGATCTACTCATTCGAAATGATCCAGGAAAATGTGGTGCTAGGTGGGTAAATGTACTCAGTATACAGCATGCTAAACATATATAAATGAACTACATGTATGCTGATATTTTTGTTCCAGGGTAATTTTTTTTTTTAAAGTTGGTCTACGCCCTTGCTGTCTGAATTTGATATGTTTTTGTCAATACTTTGTTGATCTGTGCACTCATGTATACTCTTAAGGTGTCTCTAGTGAGAAAATATTATTAACTGGTTACATTTTCCATGTATCCCCTTTCATGAGTTGACATTTCGTGATTCATATTTATTTCCACTCATTACTTGTGGGATGATGATTGAGCAATTCCACTCACCTCTGTCTTTCAGAAAAAAAGGGTTATATTTGATTAGATTCACGGATTAAGTGAAATCACAAAAGACAATTATGGTCAACATGATTCAACAATTTTGTTACACATTCTCAAGTGAATAACCACTCCCCACTGTAAAATGAGGTTCACAACTAGTTACTAGTATGATCAAGTGTTTCATGTGAGCTGAAGTCTCAGTGATCAAGGAAAATTAAATTTAAACATTAATTGTATCAAAGGATATTAAAACAATGCAAATTAATTATTCCAGCCAATGATACCATTGTAATTTGTGTATATGGATGTGACAGTACTTTGTCAGTTAAAAGTGTTGCATAAAATTATTTTTCAAAAAAAAAAACTTTTTTTTTGTGGGATACCCAATAGAGAAATACTACTTTTTACCACGAAGCCCTTGCCACTGTCTTTGAAAAGGGTAAATTACTTCAAAATGTGTTCATTTTTACTGGTGAAGTTCAGATAAATTAGTGGTCAGGAGCATTCCCAACTGAGAGATAGCAATTTCTTGTTTTTTGCATTGGGTCAATCACTTAAGGAATAGTGTTTCCATTTTTGCTGTCAAAAAAGCTGATTGTTGAATAAGAAAATGCATTACCTTAGTTCTTTGTAATATAAGCACCCGATATGAATTACTTATAATAATCTTCCAGGAAGTCCACTTAATTGCCTCTCTTAGTCAGCATAGTTGATATGTATAGGATGAGTGCTTTCAAACTTCTTTGTTTAAGTTGCACTATTTTAGGTACAAATCAACCAAAGGTGAAAAATACCTAGAGTGACTAAGTGCATGCTTTAAGTTGATCATTAAAGGGAGTGATATGTGAAAACCAAGCTAAGTTATCAGAGAGGTGTGGTGCTTTGTTCATAGAGTACTTTCATGACTAACAGAGAAAAGGGGATTAAAAGAACCTTCATAAGAGATGGAGAAAAAATTACTTTGTCCTTCAGACAGTTAGGTTAAGACTGATATGTTAAGTTTAGCTGTATAAATTTTTGCACCCATATGACTTCTTTTGGGTTGATTGTACCATTTTAAATAGAGCCGACATAAACCATCACTGTCACAGAAAAATGTGAAACACTTTGACGCATTGTCAGTCATGAATCTCATACAAGGAGTTGTTATCCCATGTACTTGGTTATACTCTTTTGGCTATGTATTTCATAATCAAGGTGTAAATAATGATAATAAGAACAGTAAAAGTTGATACATTTCATGACCTATATTAACTTTTTGGATCATTGAGTTGGACACATCTGTTATAGCCTCGAAAATTAACCTTAAATGCTAATCACAGTATTACAACTTCAGCTTATACTTTTAAATGATTCCATTTAAATAGATACAAGGGATACATGTGCTGTCTGCTTGCTGAAAGGTGTCATTTGCATTTGCAGGCACGTGCACACACACACACACACACACACACACACACACACACACTTTTGACCCGTAAAGCAAGTCTAGTGGTTGCCTCAGGGTTTTGTCTAATGCATTTGATCCCTCGCCGAGCCAAATAGAAGACCATCATGAAAAAGGTGCCTTTTGTCTCCTGGCTGAGTTTTTGCATGAGAGGGTCAAATTGAGGGCAGAAAGGCTAATTAAAATGTCTCCAGTGTGGTTGCACCATTTATCTCAATGTGAAAAGCCACTGTAGTGAAAGTGTGTGGCAGCACTTCTAAGTGAAAAAAATCATTTTAATTTAATAATTTACTTTTTCTTCAGGCTGCTTTATTACCATGTGCCTGGGCTGTGCGTAGTCAATATGACCAAAGGAGATCTGAACCTTTTGTACACATGGCTCTATTCTTGCCCTACACATGCTCTATCTGTATTTTAGAGCCATTTCTTCCCATTTTCAGGGTACAGTAAGGTTTAGTTCCTCTTCCCAGTCGTACCTTCTCTGGAGACGTAATACCTGACATAATACCTGACTGAAATATAATATAGATTGATGATATACACTGGGAATGCTTGTTGGAGCTACAAAAGTATATAGTATTTTGGGGATTATGGGTATGAAAGTAACACAGCCTTGCCCCTTCACAGTATAGCTCTCTAACCTGCCTACCCTGTATGAACTGCTGTGACCCTGTCTGGCATTTCTGTCTGGGTGAAAAATGAACATCAAGTAACACTGGGTAAATATGACCTACATAGCTGGTTAGATGTCACTTTAGGGCCTGTGAACATGCAGGTGCTGGTTTAGACATTTTCTTTTCTAGAAGTTTTTCTACAACTCTCTCTCTCTCTCTCACTCCCCCCCCCCCCATTATGACTGTACATCATGAACTTGCCATGTGTGTTTATCAGCTTGAATCAGTTCCTCCAAGAGCAGAGACTTTGATGATTTGGCAAGTTTTTGAAAAATAAACACTGTTTTACATTTTTTGATTTACATACAAATTGAAAAATGCACTGGGAACATTCCCCTTTAGCTTCCAAACTGAAAAATGAACTAGCAGAATTTGAAAAAAAAAAGCCATTGACTTTTTGCTGGTGAAAATTGAACATGGTATTGAACAGCGATATATTTTTGTGATTCCATTTTCTTGTCTTGCGTGTCTTGACTGTTTTGCGTAAGCTTTGAATGGTTATGTGGTTAAGTGTGGGAAGACATATAGTGGTTGAGAATGAATTTATTTGCCTGGGATTTCAAGGTTGCATATATCAGTTATGTTCTGTGGTCAGATATGTGGATAATTTGTGATCTCAATTGATTTTTGCTCTTTGATGAACTCCCATCAGTACTTGCAATTCTGTCAATTCAGTTTAATGCTTTCCATCCCAGACCAAAGTGCTCAGATTCTCTTATGCTCATGAATGTCAAGGAGTTTACTGGTACTCTTTCTCTCTCTCTCTCTCTCTCTCTCTCATATTCAGCTAGTAATTGTTTTGACTCATGCTCAGAAGCATTAATCATGCACGTTCTTGTTTAAATGACTCAAGTAATTCTTTTAAACCCTGTGTACCAAATGCATCATCTATTTGATTAATTTTCTTGATATTTGTGCAATGTGTGTGCACCAGATATTGAGAAAAGCAACATACTTACTTGACTATGTTGTATATTTTAATGTTGCAAAAAATCAATTGTGCAATAGGAAAGGGTCTGATTAGTAAGTATCATTTTCATAAATGTGAGCTTACTGTCATACATTTCCATACCAATCTACTGCAAAGAAGCTTAGCATGCTAGGGATTTCCTGCTGAATATTTGAGTAGCCACCTAATAGATTGGATGTATTCTATTTGCAGCTGAATGAGGATTGTATTGTCTTCTGCTTCATCAGCAGGGAATCTAATATTCCTGTCGGACAGTATATTAAAGCAATAAAGCAAATGAAATAACCATGGTTCATGAAGTCTGTAACACTTGAATACTTAAGTGACTGATGTGATGGATAATGTTTGAGGAATCATCTCCTCGTTACATGTATAAAAAATAAAGAAACAAATTAAAGGGCAAGCATCACAGGTACTGCTGAAAAGGAAAGCCTTTCCCCTTGTATCTCATTACTTGCCAACAAACTGTGAAATGTACTTGGGTAGATGTATGGTATTAATGTGTATGGAAAGGTTGCTGCCAAAGTATACCTGAGATTTTGAGTATAGGTAGCAAAAATAGTAATGTTATCCGGACACCTGTTGAAAGGCACCAGTTTGAGTTACAGTATTCGATCATTTAATCTTAAACCACCAATGCCTCAGCATCATTTTTTTTTTCAAAAATTCATCAATTCCTGATCTTTTTGAAAAATTTTCTACTTTCTGACATGCAAGAACCAAAATTGCAATACATAAGAATTGAATGATTTTTTAAAAATATTGATAACAAAGCATAATTTTAGGAAATATGATGAATTAATTTATTTTCTTGAAATTTTATTATGTTTATGTGCACTAATGTAAGTAAACTTCTCTAGGATGCTAGAATATGGAATCATATTTTATAATGTTAAACAAAATTATTCAACATTCTGCTCCCACATTGAAGAAATAGTTTCTTCTTTCTCTCTCTTTTTTTTTTTTTTTTTTTTAGCAAATGGATTCTTGTTTGGTGTGATGCCGAAGCTGAAGTTATTTGCTATTTAGGTGCCCTTTTACATTTAGATGTACCAGTGAGACTTATGAAAGTTTGCATGGTAATGCTGCATGAAGGTTATTGGAAAGCCTTGATATGAGATTCACATCACACATCCTTGAGGGTTCATTTATTATTATGTGCTATTTATGGACATGATTATTTCTTTTTGAAACTAATTTTTTACTTAGGGTAAAAATGTGTTATCTAATAAGAAAGATTAAATGTGTTTTGTTTATGATTTTGCTACATTTGTGGCATGCAGATCAACTCACACATGATATTTCTCACGTATGCCTTTTTATCGCAGTAAATATGAAATATTGGGTTATTCAAACATGATCCCTATCACATTTTCTATGAGATAAAAATTCATATATATACATTAACACTTTTTCATTCTCAAAAGACATCTATCTGTGTGGGATGTAGACACATCTATGATTTGAAGCATACTGACTCTTTTGAAAAAAAAACAAACTACTACACCCTTTCCCTTTTACTTGCTCTTTCCCTGAAATGAAACCAAAAGAATAAACAGTGATAGATGTAAATTATATATATATATATATATTACTATTAAATTGTAACTTCCCCAAATGTGTGTCAGTCAAAGTACAATTAAGGGGGAGCGGAGTGAAAAGAGTATATGTGACCTCAAGCTGACACGAAGTAATGTATTCTTTTGTGAACTGTCTTTCTGGGTTGTGGACATCATCAAACCCAAGCAACAACTAAAACCCATCATCCTATTTCCTTATTGACTGGTATTAACCATTCATGAATGTCTGTCTGATGGTGCAGTGAGAGAATTGGTTTTATTTGGGATATTGATTCATTCTTCCATCTTGATAAATGGAATTGGACGCCTTGCCAGAAAAGAAGTCTTATAATATGGCCTTGGGTTTCTTTCTGTATCTGCCTATTCAGGGGTTATGTCTTACACAAGGTGCCGAAGAAGTCATGCTTTCCAAATGTGTAGACACCTTGTTTAAGTGATAGATAATATCAGGCCTAGGGTCAAGTTATGAGTGGGTGCAGGGGACTGATAGCAATCAGTGAACCCTTCCAGGAATGGTTATTTCTGCTCAGTGAACCTGTCCTAGAATGCTCTGTTTTATCTTTGAACTTATGTGCATTTATTGCACATTTTCCAATGATTTTCAGATTTCATTATATAGGAGAAATTCAGTAGATGGGATGACTGATTAGTTTTGTGAGCAGTGTGTGTATGTGTTTGTGTGTGTGCGTGTGTGTGTGTGTGTGAATGTCATGAATATAGGTTGTAGAGTGCTGAAGTTACCCTGGTTTGAACTCGTGGACCATTGACCCTTGTTTGACAGTAGAGATTAGTCGACCCAAAGTGGCCTGCTGTAGATGAGATAAGTTGCTAAACTTTTATAATTGCTGTACTGCATAGGTTTAATGAGAGGTGAACTATTTAAGTTGCACCATTTGCTGAGAATTAAATTGTTTTATATTAATAAAAGTTTCTTTGGTGCTTTACAACCTCTGCCCACATTTTCATCTTAAATCAATCAGGAAAGACCACTTGTTTTGTGATTTATTTTCTCCAATCCAACCGTTTAATGATGTGAAAAATGCAATGATTAATCAATTAGTATAACAGTTTGATTCTGAACTTGAAGAGGGGTTACATAGACACATTGCTTTTTAATAGGGGATCACAAAAGAGCTTTAGCACCCCTCCCCCAACCACCACCACCACCACCACCACCACCACCACCACTGTTAGACTGTTAAATCTGATTTTTTTTAGTTTACCCAAAGTGATGAAGTATTGGTCTGAAACATACAGCATGGATTTTTGGTTACAGGCACAAAATCCTCTTTAATATTGGACTACTACTGATTTAACTTGAGCCAAGGTCAACTATAACTTTTCAGGTTATAGCTCTTTTGTGAAACTAGCCCCTGCTCCAATTGACCTTCTGACCCAGACTGTTATGACTGGCAATGGAATTCCTGTGGTGATCAGATATGTGCACATACAGTATGGATTGTTTGGTGTTTTGAGGATAAGGAAATGCTTATAATGGGAAGTACTGTACATAGTAGAAGTATATAAAACTGGTGTCCTTGTCCTTAGTCCAAGTCTTGCCCGAGTGGTGGGTTTGATAGCAACTAGATATGGCTGGATATTTCTGCCTGATCAGCCAGCCTTTCAGTTATGCCCATGGCTTTATACATCTACAGTGTGGTCATTACAGAACTCTAGATACATCTACATGTATCTTTTGTGTTACATGAAGCTAGAATTAAAATGACACCTGAAAATGAAGGGAAACACTACTAAAATTGTCCAGAAAAGGGATTTTTGTGCATGTATGTTTTTGGAGATTGCCTCAAATGTTGAATAATTTTTAAACTATCTTCATCATGTAATGATTACAAGATCTGTACCCTTGTAAATAACTTTTTCTTCCCTGTTTGATATGAGATGTGGGGTGTGGGGCTGCTGTCAGTTTGTTTTCTTGACCTGTTTACATTGTTTATGGAAACTTGATTGAGGTTAATGTTGATCTCTTCTTGTAGTGTCATGACTGTACAGAACCAGTCCAGAAACTAAACTTGTGTCAGCCAGTAGTTTTGCCAAGCCCTAGCCCAACCTTATCATTAAATTGGGTTACAGATCATGTGCGCAGAGTGTCCTGGGTTTGAATCTTCAAGTGTATCTAATCAGTATGTCACTGCAATATGAATAAAATTCCACAAGATAATTTTTTTGTATATTGGAAAGCTGATTGCTACCCTTAAATTAACAGATGAGAACAGCTTTTCACATCAGCTCTTCTTGTTTTTTATTTTAACAAAGTAATGTGATCTGATCCTCAAAATAATTTCTAGGTATTTTGCTTCATTTGTGAAAATACAGAGATTCCTTTTAGTGAAAACATGTTCATACGGCCTTGGACATTGTTTGCAATGCTAGCCTTTCACTATGAATTAAGTGACCTTGAAAAAGTACTTGAAATTGCTGTCCTTGAAAAGAGTTTGTATTTCATCATTTTTCTCATTAAAAAGTATTTAAATTTGATCATCAGTTTATCAAAGATTATTTCAAATATTGTAGTTTTAACCTGAATAAAGACAGTAATTTGCAGAAGCGAAGAATGCCCTTATATTTTGAACATCATTTAATACTAATTTTTTAATGTTAGATGGTACATGTAGTTCATAAATTATGGTTCATCATCAAAGTTTAAAAATACTAAGTTTTCCTTTCATATGTACACTTATGAATGACATAAAGCTGCCCATGTTTATGCTTAATTAAACGTCCTTGAATGTCCTTGTCCAGGTCACATTAATATAACTAATGAAGGTATGGTTACCCCCCCCCCCCCCACC